CTTCCTTTGGTCAGGATCCTGAAATCTACCATCTCATGATCACTGCTTCCCAGGTTGTCACCCACCTCCACTTCCCCTATTAGTTCCTCCCTGTTTGTGAGCAGAAGGTCAAGCTGAGCACAGCCCCTGGTCGGATCCTTCAGCACTTGTACCAAGAAGTTATCCCCAACATTCTCCAAAAACTTCCTGGATTGCCTGTGTACTGCCGTATTGGTTTCCCAGCAGATGTCAGGGAGATTAAAGTCCCCCACGAGAACCAGGGCCTGCGATCTGGCAGCTTCGCTCAGTTGTCCGAAGAAAGCCTCATCTACCTCATCCACCTGGTTCGGTGGCCTGTAGCAAACACCAACCACAACATCACTGCTGTTGTTTGCTCCTTTAAACTTAACCCATAGACTCTCAACAGGTTTTTCTGCCTCTTTATACTGGAGTTCAGAGCAATCGTAGTGCTCTCTTACATATAGTGCAATTCCTCCTCCTTTTCTCCCCTGGTCCCTCAGCCTGTTGCCTCACTCTGAATGAAACAACTCCTTTGCCCTTTCCTCAGGGCTTTACCTTCAAGTCCAGCCTTCTCTCAGCAGCTCTCCCCTGGGAGCTGTCCCTGGTTCTGCCTGCCAGCCACCCCCGACCTTCTCCCTTCCAGGTCTGGGCTGCAACTGAGCTGCCTCTACTCCTGTAGCTTCTTTTGTAGGCCTCCCTGGACCCTGACTGGCTGGCTTCTTCCTCTCCCCTCCAGCCGCCCCCGGTACGAGTACCCTTAAGGGTACTTGAAAGAAGTCTGGGGCATACATCAACACAACCAAAACTTGGAGAAAACTGAATTTTTGTTTTAAGTTTTACAGCGCTTTATTATTTTTGTACATTTTACACCCAAACATTTTATTGCCTGCCCACCTACGATTAAGTTGTTTAAACAAATGTGTTAAAATGGTAGAAAAAAATTGTGCGTCTGAAAACTGGGGGTACTTATAATTTAAAAAAGGGGGGGGTACTTTATAAAAAAAAGTTGAGAAACACTGGCCTACAAGACTTCTCTATAGCCCTTTTGGCCTTAAGGTGTAGCCCCATTACAGACCCTTTATACACATTAGAACTTAATTAGGTGGTCCTCAATTCCGGCAAAAGAGCAAAACTGAGTTATTGTGCACACTCCCAGAATACTGTGCTAACTCAGCACTGAAGTTTAGGTCATGGCTCTTGATTTCATATCAAATCCTCAACTGCGGTGGCAAAGTGCTGAATTATGCATCCAAATTAACTATTTTCTAATCAAAATCCTTCATTTCTTTTTAAGGCAACCTATGCTCTAAATACACCAGGAAATGCAGCTATAAGTAAGGCATGACTGCCCTGCATCCTAGCAGAGGAACTGCCATCAGCATGCACAGGGCCACTGCAAAACAGCAGAATGGAGGTTGGAGAAAGCGGACAACTGCAGGGTAGCGGAGCCCTAGAGCAGTGTTTCCCAAATGGTGGTAGGCAAACCTGGGGTTCCGCGAAGAGACAATAAGGGTTCTGCGAGAAAATTCCATTGCAATAACATTTCATGATTTAAAAAAATTAGAATATTTAAGCATTTATGCATTTTATTGAAAACAATTTTCATTTGAGTTGATCTTGGGACCTGATTTAGCATTTGTTTATTATTATCCTTACTTATTTGTGGTCTACTTTTTCAGCTCCATATATAAAACCATTATTAGGGCTTCCGCACAATTCTTTCAAGTTTAAAAGGGTTCCGTGGTGAAATGAAATTGGGAACACTGCCCTAGAGGATCAGAAGAAACAACAGAAAGGCTTGGAAAGCTTCTGGAAGGGCTGTGTTAGGCGGCAGTGAGTACCTGCTGCCAACAGACGAAAAGGCTTGCACCCATGGAGAATAAATTCCCTGTGCTCCCATGCCCGGCAGAAATGAAGTCTGGAAGAAGAACATTCATCTTCTTTGTGGCCTTCTTTATTTTGAACTGATAGATTTACCTGGGCCAACTGATACCTTATATAGAACGAGATCATGTTCACCATCATGCAGGGTTGTACCATCAGGTCTCATCAGCTTCACAAAGGCCATGGAGAAAACTCTCTCGCTTTTATCCTTAGCTAGGAGACACAAAACCAAAAAGTCAGGGAACGTCTATTCAGGGAGAGCAAATGGTTCCTTCCTATGGTTCTCCAGTGTGATGCAGCTCTGTGTTCCAGTGAGGTTGTGCACACAAGGCCAGACTTAGTGGCAGATGACTTTGGCAACTGAGCCCTGGCTTTACGGCCAGGCCAGGCCAGGGCCTTGGGCTGCCTTCTGGATGGAACACAGGTGCAGTGGGTCTGGCTGCTAGGAAGGCCAGTGTGGGTCCAGCACAGACAGACAAAGAGCAGGGCATTTTGCATTCCCCGGGGGCAAGGTGATGGGTGGAGGTTCTGTCTGAGTGCCTGGGCAAGAAGCCAATGGGAGCTCTGCGAGCTGAGCCATGACCAACCTATAAAGGGATTAAAGCAGGAGGGGGGAGAGGGAGCAGCCTCAGGAGCCGGAGCCCCTCGGAGGAAGACGCAAGCCAGGAAGGGTGGTGTCAGAGTGACACAGCCAATCCAGAAAGGCTTCTTAAAGGGTCTAGCTTACAGAGAGGGGCCTTGAGTGTCTACCAGGCTACTCAGGAGGTGAATACAGGTGGGCCTTGGGCCTCCAGCCAACTCTGATAGAGAGGGCAGAGCTTGGTTCCAGGAGGGCTTTGGGTGGGAATCAGGCAGGACTATAAAGTGAGCACGCTACAGGCATGTCTACACTGCATTCCTCTTTCGAGAGAAAAATGCAAATGCAGCCGAGTGAAAATGTAAATGATGCGCGGATTTGAATTTCCCGCACCTCATTTGCATAATGGCGCTCAGGCACTTTTTCGAAATACCCTATTTCAAAAAAACCCCGCAGTCTAGATGGGGTTATTTCGAAAAAAACCTTCTTTCGAAATAACCTTACTCCTTTAAAAGTGAGGTTTAAGGGTTATTTCGAAAGCAGGGTTCTTTTCAAAATAACCCCGTCTAGCCTGCGTTTCTTTGGTTTTTTGAAATAGGGTATTTTGAAAAAGTGCCTGGACGCCATTATGCAAATGAAGAGTGGGAAATTCAAATCCGCGCATCATTTACATTTTCGCTCGGCTGTATTTACATCCCTCTCTGGAAAGAGGAGTGCAGCGCAGACGTACCCTTAGGGTGGCTGGGGAGTGGTGGGGCGGGAGCTTGCTTGACCCACCGGGTACCAGTCACAAGCCCATTGCAAGGTGGGAACTCTGAGGCGAGGCCTCTTAGAGACAGCGAGAGGGGCCTTATCCCCTTCAGTGTAAAGGTGGGGGGCGGAGTAACACAAACACAACCTGTAACATTGTTAATTGCATGTGGATCAGTAAATAAGCTTAAACACAAATACAAGGTCACCCAGGATCCCATGGTCCCTAGGGCAAGCCGTGTGCTCATGCCAGCTAACTGCCTACTCTTGTGGCCGCAGTCCTCCCTTGGCTACATGAGGCAATGCCACAACCACCCCCATCAGTTCCTTCTCACTGAATGTCTAGAGTTCAGACTCTGGTACAGAAGGGATAGAGAGCAGGCTGTGGGATCCACATATGCATCACGTCTTGAGGAACCAAGGGCGAGTAATGCCTGACCAACGTGATTAGCTTCTATAATGAGGCACCTGTCGACACGGGGAAGTCGGTGGATGTGATAGACCTTGACTTTAGCAAAGCTTTTGATACGGTCTCCCATAATATTCTTGCCAGCAAGTTAAGGAAGTCTGGATTGGATAAATGGACTGTAAGGTGGCTGGAAAGCTGGCTAGATTGTCAGGCTCAATGGGTAATGATCAATGACTTGATGTCTGGCTGGCGGTCAGTTCAAGTGGAGTGCCCCAAGGATCAGTTCTAGGGCCCATTTTGTTCAGCATCTTCATTAATGACCTGCATGAGGGGATGGATTGCACCCTCAGCAAGCTGGCAGATGACACTAAGCTAGGGGGAGAGGTAGATACACTGGAGGGCAAGGATAGGGTCCAGAGTGACCTGCACAGATCAGAGGATTGGGCCAAAAGAAATCTGAGGAGGTTCAACAAGGACAAGTGAAGAGTCCTGCATTGGGACAGAAGAATCCCAGGCATTGGTACAGGCTGGGGACTGACTGTCTAGGCAGCAGTTCAGCAGAAAAGGCCCTGGGGATTGCAGTGGGTTCAACAAGGACAAGTGCAGAGTCCTGCACTTGGGATGGAAGAATCCCAAGCATTGTTACAGGATGAAAAGGATCTGAGGGTTACAGTGGATGAGAAGCTGGATATGAGCCAACAGTGTGCCCTTGTATCCAAGAAGGCTAATGGCATATTACATTGCATTAAGAGGAGCATTGCCAGCAGATCCAGAGATGTCATTATTCCCTTTTATTCAGCTCTGGTGAGGCCACATCTGGAGTATTTTGTCCAGTTCTGGGGCCCCCCACTACAAAAAGGATGTGGACGCATTGGAGAGGGTCCAGCGGAGGGCAACCAAAATGATTAGGGAGCTGGAGCATATGACCTATGAGGAGAGGTTGAGGGAATTGGGTCTATTTAGTCTGCAGTAGCGCAGAGTGAGGGGGGATTTGATAGCAGCCTTAAACTTGTTGAAGGGACGTTCCAAAGAGGATGGAGATAGGCTGTTCTCAGCAGTGACAGATGGCAGAACAAGGAGCAATGGGCTCAAGTTACAGTGGGGGAGGTCGAGGTTGGATATTAAGAAAAACTATTTCGCTAGGAGGGTGGGGAAATACTGGGATGGGTTCCCTAGGAAGGTGGTGAAATCTCCATCCCTAGAGGCATTTTAAGTCCCAGCTGGACAAAGCCCTGGCTGGGCTGATTGAGTTGGGGCTGGTCCTGCCCTGGGCAGGGGGTTGGACTCGATGACTCCTGAGGTCTCTTCTACCCTGGGAGTCTATGAAGCACACAGTTCCCAAAAGTAACTATTTCTTCTTCTTTGAGTAGATGCACAGAAGAACCCGGGGATGAGAATCACTGTGGTGAGGGGCAGGTCGGGCAGCACAGAAGAACCCGGGGATGAGAATCACTGTGGGGAGGGGCAGGTCAGGCACCACAGAAGAACCCGAGGATGAGAATCACTGTGGTGAGGGGCAGGTCGGGCAGCACAGAAGAACCCGGGGATGAGAATCACTGTGGTGAGGGGCAGGTCAGGCAGCACAGAAGAACCCGGGGATGAGAATCACTGTGGTGAGGGGCAGGTCAGGCAGCACAGAAGAACCCG